GCTATTGTCTGAGACAAATGTCTTAGCCAAAGGTAAGACGCTTCAATGCTTATTTTACACACAAGCTTGTACATTTATATGTGTGTTTGTGTGTGTAGCCTTGGGGTGTCATATGTGGTCGAGCAAGCGACCGCACTAGCCGCGCTGGACATTTTACATTTCCATGCCAAATACCCTTTCAGAAAGTTTTTGCTATTTCTTTGGCAACACTTCTGGCCACGGGCAATACATCTTGGGCCAAAAACACAAAATCGTCTTAAGTATTTTGTGTGGTTTAAATAAAATATAAAAAAAAAACGAGAGAAAAATAATAAAAAGTGCTTGCAGTCTCGCTTTGTGTGTATGTTTGTGTGTCAGCAGTGTGTGTGTGTGTGTGTGTGTGTGTATGTGTGTGTGTGTAAAAGGATAAGCATGCTACATCCGCTTAACGTTGTATTTCCTTCGTCTTGCTTTTCATTTGGGTTTTGCGTAAATGATTTTATTTCGTTTTTGCGGTTACTGCTGCAAATTTTTGATGTACTATTATTCTATGCCCAAGTCCAAGTGTCCGTCATTGTTTTTTATAGACACATTTCAAAAAGGTTTCCCACTCCCCACTCCCCTCACACCCACCTAAACGCTCATCAGCATGACAGCAGCATATTTGGGGTCCACTCGTATTCCTGCCCCAAAAAGGTGGCAGCATATTAGATATCTCAACATCAGGCGCTGACGATGTAAATTGTGTGAATTGTGGCACATTGTGTCATGTTATTGTCCTGTTTGAGAGCCATAAAGCAAAAATAAAACGAAAACGAAAAACACGGCAAAGGATTGATGACCGCTTCGTAATTTCGACATTGAAATTACGCATACGCCTAGTGAGGCGTAAGGAATTGACGTGGAAAGAAGGCACATAAACTAAAGGTGGAGAAGAGGAAACTAAGCTACACTGCTTCTAAAGACGAGGGATTCAATTGAGAGTAAACAGATAGATGGACGGGTGGATTCTGTAATGTTCTCCAAACTGTGAGGAATCGTATTTCGAATGAAGGAATGGAAGGGAAATTTGCAGAACTACGTATCAGGTGTAATTTTAAGCATTTGTGGTTAAACCAATCGAGGTATTGATAAATAGTGTTAGAATTTCTATAAAGACTTAAAGTAAATGAACACTTTTTATTTAAAACAACAACATCGGAACCATTCAATCAAAAGTTTTCTACTTTTCTTTTGTTTCAGCACATACAAAATACTTTGTCGAAGCTAAAACGAAAATAGTTTCTTCTGAACTTAGAAAAAAGGATTTATATTAATTTTGCCCAAATATTTCATTTATTTATCAAACTAATGTATGTATTACATAAGACATTGTCGTCCTTACTATGCAACTTTTGTTAATAATTTTATAGACAGAATACAAATATAATAAATGAATACATAATTCAATAGGCTGCACTTGAATTGAATTTTACTTTCTGTTATTTATTTTCATTAAATTGTTATCAAAATGTATATTGATTAAAAATGGGGGAACTTAATTGTTTACTACGCGCTCGGCTTGAAAGTATAGTTAGTACTAAGTAAGTACTTACCATCTTGTTGTTTGAAAAAGTTTGTTCTAACATTCTTGCGGAAATATAGTTGGCTATCCAATAAGGCCGGGCCTTTTGCCATACTTTATTTGTTTACCACTAGTATTAGATTGAATTTGTTTTACTTTTAATATTTTCCTTTTTCCGTTTTAATTTTACATATTTAAGTAAGCTTGTCTCCAAATTCTAACTATTTAGCTCTTTTACTTTGGTAGTTGAATAAAAAAAAGAAGTTCTCTTGTATGAATATTTTCTAATTTTCATTTTCCATTGTTAAAGATTTCGAATTTCAGTACTTTTTCCAACAGGCAGTAAGCGTTTTTTTCTGAAATAGAAGCGCACAATGTGAAGGCTATTAACAATTGACTTACAAGTACTTGTATCAAAATATAGTATTTATATTTATTTCATTCAATTGCTGAACCTGTTCAGGCCACACATATTGCTGTCTGAAATAAATAACAAACACAAAACAATTTATTTCGGTGCAATTTCTCGGCTTTAGTTTTTGTGTTTAACTCAACGCGAAACATTTGTGAACAATTTCTAAACGACTAGAAAGTTGAATACCCTGTGCCTTTTTTTTCCACTGCAGTTATTTAGTTAAAATAAACTGTGTTTTATCAATCATTCATAAGGCGGCTACATGGATCCTTCCTATGGCAGTTAAATTAAATGTTAATGAGACTTTCGATTATGATCAGGCACTATGCAAGAGCCAGAAATGCTTACCAACAATTAACTATATTATTCATCAAAGATCTTTATATTTTTTTTAATTAACCTACTCGGCGTATGGGAAAAATATCTGTAAGTTATTCATAATCGTCCAATTAAATTAAAGTGATCATTAATTGAATTAAACGAACATTCATATGAGCCGCTGGCAAAGATTTCCAAGCATATGGATTAGCAGTTTAAGAACAGACTGCCCGATAATATGCTTGCAAGTAGTTCGATTAGAATATCAAGAACAGTGGAGGACTTTCCCATGCCTCAGACTTTAACATCCTTTCTTGCACAACAATGGTTTTATTCGGCACAATCGTTCCATCTAGCTGTAATAAAAATGTTAATACACTATCGAATAATACAAAAAGGAAACTCCAAAGCTTTTTAATAATGTTGCATTTTATTTAAATTCTCGTATTCCATCAATTACTCGTAATAATTAATATGCATTTATTGCTAGCCAACAGCTATTGCATTTCATATTCAACTATTTTGCTATGCCTAAATAATATCATATTATTTGTTATTCTACTTTATATGCCATATGTTTCAACTCGTTTACAAATTTCGATTTTTGGACTTGTTTTTTTGTGCAAAAATCAATTACAAAGCGTTTGTCCATTTAATAATTTATAAACAAAAATATGCGCGGACACGAATATACAACTATATAGCACATAGTTAATGCCCACGCTTCTACACACACACACACACACACACATATATGTATATGCAAAATTTTTACGGAAATGTCAGTGTAAAAAACGCGAAAACGCGTAACAGATACAAACACACCTACAGGTGCAGAGCAAAATACGTAGCATACATTTGGGCGCTTGGCCGCGGGCAAAGTTATTTTTTCATTTTCACGATTTCTAAACGCGCACATCAACAACCTAATGGTAGCGTGAAAAATGATAAAAAAAGAGCAAAAAAAAGATGAAATGCTAAATATCAACAGCAGTCAGTTGTACTCGTGCTTGAAAATGTGCCCTCCTGCCTTTGGTTCGCACAGCGCACAGGACGCTTAATAAAAAGAAAATACTTCATAGGACGAGTAAGGACATACAAGTATGTGTGTGTGTGTGTGTGTATGTGTGTATGTCGCAACTACATTTTAAATATGTATGTACTTGCACGTGTAGGAGGAGAAAAGCTCAACTAAAAACGCCAAACGCCAAAAATAAAAAAGTTAAAACGCGCAAAAGGTAGAAATATATTTTGCGACAAAGTTGAAGACCTTTGCTGTGGGGAGGGGTGTGTAGGGGAGGGCTCAATTGTGCAACTTGCCAGTCGCTGGCAGTTGAAATAACATGAGCAATTTTAGAAAAGCGACAAAACGTCGAATGAAAGATAAATAAAGCGCCAGTTGCCAGGCGGGGCAAATAAAATGTTGGGAAAAAGGCGAAAAGCGGAAGAAAAAAAGCGCGAGCTATAAATCAAGGCACGGGCGGACAGCGGGTATTCAGTAAAAAAGGGTAACACAGGGATTGCACAGTGGTCTGACTAGTGTGAGTTTTATAAGAAGTTTTCGTCTCAGTATGCATTAAAATTATTGGCCAGTCAATAGTCAAAAAGTTAGACTCGTTTGTTTATTTGTTTGTTTGTATAATAAACAGAAAAAGTGGAAGACCTTATTACTTTGTCATCAGCTTGGCGGTCTATCTGTATGATTTGTAGAAAGAGCCCCTGAACTTAATAAGCAGTTATTTGATAGTTCAAGAACCCTTTTCGTAGAAATCGTGCATAAAAGAAACCCTTTTTCTTAATACAAAATAGTTCAGCCTGCAAAGATTAGACAGTAGTTAAAGAAATTGTAACTAACACTTCGCATAAGCTATAACTATTTAACATTAATAAGTTTCTAGCTAATAGTTTTGTTTATGAAGAAAGAGCATTCTTCTGGACTCAAAAAGTAAAACGAAATTAAATAATTAATTAAATAATCAATTAAGTAATTAATTAAATAAATTAAATAATAATAATAATAAAACTATACATAAGTCTAGAGCTTTCATTCGAAAACGTCACAACTTTTTAAAATGAAAATTTGAAAAATTTTTATTTGTATTTTAAATTATTATTCATGATATTTGGGTTCGAAATTGATGCCAAGAAATCCTAGTAAATCTTTCTGGGATTTAAGAACAATTGCCAATATAAATTAAACTTAATTCAAACAAATTCAAAAATGGAAACAGGCCTTTCAGTTAGATACGATTTCATTTAGTTAAACATTTCAAGGTATTTTATTTATGTATGCTTATAAAAAGCTTTGCCAACTAAAAATAAACAATAAATTCAATTTAAAAGTGCACATAACAAATATATTTTTAACATTTAGTCTAAATCTAAATTATTATAAAAATAAATAAATAAACAAATGCGCTTCAAGGTATGTTTGTAGCTACAATTTTCTTCACTCTGTACCACTGTGCACTGTGGGTTAGATGTATCTATTACAGGTTTGCTGCATGGGTGTGCCCCTCCCTCTATATGTGTGTGTGTGTGTGTGTGTGTCTGTGTCAGTGTGAGTGTGAATTTGTGCAGCTGCATTCAGCGTGTTGGTAAGTTTTTTATTTCATTTTTGCACAAGAAATGTATTTATTTTTGTTTTTGAAAAATTGTTGCCGCTTAAATGCTAAAAAATTGATTTTGATTCTGCATATATTGGTTTTCTGTTTTCTAGCCCAGCTACTTGTCCACCTGGGCCGGTTCCATGGTGTACATGTCTCGCAGCAGACGAGCAATGGGCACATTGCCAATGGTCTCCTTGAAGAAGAGCGCCTCGATCGTTGAGGCACGAATGGTGCGCAGCGAGGGAAGCAACAACAGGAGGCGTCCGAAGCGGGTGGCCTGCCGCGGATAACGCAAACGCACATGATCCGAGAGTATGCATTGAGCCTGATCCTGCAGCATTTCCACCGGCTGCACATCGCACAGACCCGCCGTTTCGGGCGCGAACAGGGCAATGGCCTTCATGCAGCCCACCTCGCTGCCATCGGGCGCGATTTGACGGAAGCGGCAGAGTATCTCCTGTATGGTCTTCATTTCCGTCTGTGTGGCCTCGTCCTGCAGCACGCGCTCCTTGATGAGTGGCGATTCGAGGATGGGCGTCAAGTCAAGCGGTATGGTCCACTGTGCCAAATTTAAAAGGAAAAGCTCCTTCCAGGACTCCTGCAATGCATAAGTAGAGTGAAGGCGCTGTGGTTAGCTTAAATGTTTAAATAACTTAAAATAATATACTAAATTAATTATTATTATCAATTAAATGAATTATAAAGATGTAGCATTAACTGTTCAAAGCTTTAAATGATAATAAAATTGAAGCCATAATAAAATTCAGATTGAAAATGATGTGAGGAATAAGCAATAATGCAATAAAATACACTATTAATTAATAATATTTAATTAATTAGTTTTATAAATATGTTTTAGGAAAAGGATTAGGGTTTAAAACAAAAAAAAACAGCAAGGGCGGCTTTAGGTTTTAATTAATAATTGGTTTACTAAAATATTATTTCATAAATAATCCTTAAAACAAGTGATAGAAATATATAAATAAAAAACAAACATATACATTAATTTTATGAAGTAAGTAAACATACAATTATTGGAACTTATTTGTGTTAAAACTATAGATTCGGATTTCCGTAAGCTGAACTCTGTTATATTGCTACTGTTGCCTTGTCCTTATATTAAACGATTTGCGTGTTTAGTTTTAACCATATTTTTGTGTATTTCTGTGAGTTTTTGAAATTATAAAACCGACTTATTTCGAATTGCAATGTAAGGAATGAAGTAGAGTCTATGATAAAACTAGTATACCTTTTTGACCTTTTGGGTACAGAACATAATATATGTAAAATTATGTAAATGACAGCAAAATTTAGTAAGTAGAATGGAATTCGAGAAATATATGCTCAACAAAAAAGGCCGAAAATATAAATTTATTGATTCAATCTTTAGTTAAAATTTAAACATATTTAAATAAACCTATTTCAAACAGTTTCTATAGAAGTTTATTTATAATTTGCGCAAATTTTTGTTTAAGTGATAATTAAAAATGTTAAAATGTATGTAAAACCCAAAAAAGTGAAAGTGTTTTCGAAAAATGCTGCATCGGTCCAATGGCATTAGCTGGATTGGAATATTATCAGCAGAAAAGGTGATAATCGTAATAATTTGTAATTTACGTAAATTTTACTCAATATTTGTTTTGAAAAAGTTAAAATGAATGTTGTATGTGAAACCCGAAAAAATGAAAGAAACTTTTGGGAAAATTATCAGCAAAAAAGGTGATAATCGTAGTAATTTATTTTGAAAAAGTTAAAATGAATTTGAAACCCGAAAAAGTGAGAGTGTTTTCGAAAATTTCTGCATCGGTCCAATGGCATTAGCTCGATGGGAAAACTATCAGCAGAAAAGGTGATAATCGTACTAATTTATTTTGAAAAAGTTAAAATGAATGTGAAACCCAAAAAAGTGAAAGTGTTTTCCAAAAATGCTGCATCGGTCCAATGGCATTAGCTCGATGGGAAAACTATGAGCAGAAAACGTATTAAGTAGGTAAGAAAAGGTTGTTTAAGTCAATTTTCATTGCCAAGGTGTTTGGAAACTAAATCATCGACTAGAAGTTGCAATTAGCCAATACTTTGATATTAGGTTGGGCGTTTAATTAAATAATATCGTTTTGAGAAAATCGTAATTCCAAACTGGAGTGTAAACATAAAAGCAAGACATCTGTCTGCAGATATGGATTGCTGGAAGCCTCAACTCACCTGCAGCAGCAAATGTTGATCGTTCTTGGATAGCGTCTGGAATGGCATTAGGCACTTAACCCAACGCACGGCCATGAAGAGCAGACGAGCCGTGGTCTCCTGCAGCATTTCCCAGGACAGAAGGCGCGAGTCCACGCCCACCATATGCTGGGATAGGGGTGTGGGGAAGAGCAGCGTATTATGCTGCACCTGGTATTGTATCAGCTCCTGGCACTTGTCCGGACTGAGCAATAGTTCGAGGAAGCCGTTCTGACGTGCCGAATAGAGGGCTGCGGCGTGGTTGGGGGGCGTGGCAGTGTTGCTTCCTCCCGTTGGCAGTGGCGGTGGTGTGGGGGTTGTGGGCGTCGGCGAGCTCGATGCATAACTAAGTTGCTTGAGATTGTTGTTGTAGTTGCTACTATTATTATTGTTGTTGTTGTTGTTGTTGTTGTTATTGCAGCTTAGGTGGCTATTATTGTGGATGTTGTTGTTGTTGTTGTTGACATGTATGCTGTGCATTAGCAGAGCTGCATTGCTTGGCGGCGTCGCTGCCACGGCTAAGGCTGTGGAGACATTCCCATGATGACTGCCCTCGCTCAGGCTATGGCCGGAAGCTGAGGGATTGGGCTGGGGCGAGGTGGACGAAGCGGCCAGGCTTTGTGTGTCTGTAATCGTGGGTGTTGGCGAGACGCTGCCCGCTGTGAGCGGCGGCGAGGCAGAGGGCGAGGGCGTCTCTGTTTCCACATTGACGCGCGGACTCTCGCTGCCCAGACTGAGGCCAATGCTGGAGATGGATTGTATGGAGTTTGTGGGCGAGGGCGAGGAGTAGTTGTTGTTGTTGTTGTTGTTATTATTGTGGCTGTGATTGTGGCTAGGCGGTGGTGCATATGGCGTGGCAGTGGAAACGACGGCGGCCACCGCTGTGGCAGTGGCAGCAGCAGCCGCCTTGCTGGCCGCCTCCGCAATGAGATTGTGATGCAGCAGATGCTGTGGAAAGGTGAGGGCAGCGGCGCTGCTGTTGGCAACAGCGGTGGCGCCGCCATTTTGCAGACTGGCGTGCGGCGCGAGCGCATGTCCCGATGGATGATGAAAGGCCGTGGCATGTGGCGTCTGGGGCGTCTGTTGTCCCGACTGCTGCAGCTGCTGCGGATGCTGCGGCGGATGGTGGTGCGTATGATGGTGTGGGTTCGGCAAATGGAAGCCGGGCGCCGGCGGATGCGTGGAAATGTGCTGCGTGTAGTTAAATGAGGCTGAGACATTGGTGACCAGCGAGACTGGCAAGTGGGTGGCATGGTGATGATGCAGACCGGCGGCTGCAGCTGCCGCGGCTGCTGCATGATGGGCGGCCGCCGCATGGTGGTGATGATGATGGTGATGCGCCGCGGCTGCAGCGGCAGCTGCATGATGATGATGGTGGTGGTGATGCAGTTGGGGATGCAGCTTTGGCTTTCGAGGACCGCGCTCGTGCTGCACAGCTGGTGAAGCGTCAAGTGAGAAAAGTAGAAAGAAAATACCCAAAAAAAGATTACATTTGATATGAATAATAATTGTATAATAATAATAATAATATTTCTAGGCAGTGCTTTTATTATAGATATTAAAAACAGCAAAAAAACTCCCTATTTGACTGTTTTGTTAGCCTGCTTAACTCTTCATTTAGTCCGAGTCGTTGAAGATTATTTTTATAGTTTTCATACTCTATATATATATATCTCAGAAAGATTTTTTGAATCCCAACAATTGTCCACACAAATAAGTATTTTACTGAATAAAGCTTGGGAGGCACGCGAATATTGTTGATAGAAAAAGCTTACTACAAATCTTGTATTAAATGAAAATATATTGTAAATAAAATGTTTTATTCAAATGAAGTAGGAAAGTTTTCTGTATAAATTGTATTTAGTAAGAGCTGTTTATGTAGGAACTAAATCTGGACTCAGTCTTATCTTACAGACTTTTTTTAAGCAAATAAGTGCGAAGCAAGAAAGCCAGAATTTTAAAAGTAATGCTTAGCACATAATTCGGAGAAGCCATTATTGCTCTTGTCTGCGTGTCTGACCGTAGAATAAGGCTACTGATTTGGGTTTGTTTGTAAATAGTGCAATGATTTACTAAATCGGCTAAGAGACTAAGGGAATGCAAAATGTCTGATCGTAGAATAATGCTCCTGGTGTTGGTTTAATTGTTTATAGTGCAATGATTTACTAAAGAGAGAGATGCTAAGAGATGCAATCAATTTTATTACTTTAATTTAAGTTTGTCAAGTATTTATCTGCTTCATATTAAACTTTTCTACATGCTTCTCTGCATCATCTTTTAATTCTCCCACTCAATATTTGCCAGATCTAAGTCCAACACTATCAGTAATTTGCTAATCTTAGCAACAATACAGATTATTGCTTCGCATTTTGTAAATAAATATTATTTTATTCACTATATTAGATTATTATTTATTAGACCTAATAAAGATTACATTCGTTGTTGATTTCAGAAATAAAATCAACAAATATATGTTGGGCATATGCAAAAATGTTTTGTGTATTATTTAAAAGCTTATTCTTGAAGCCAATTATGTTGAGTTGTATTATTTGCAATTCTTTTCATTTTCATTATATTTATAAAACATTTATTAATATTATATGTCTTTAAATTATAAAGCATTTGCAAAATGTAATGTAAATGTAATATCTATAGTCTTATGTTTGCACCCAATTCCCTTGATATTGATTATATGTTAATAAATCTCATATATGCTTATTAATATATTTTTTAATATATTTAAAGTATATGCAAACATGTTTTATGTAATACCTATAGCCAATTCTTTTAATTTTTATTCTTTCTATTTTTTTATTTTTTTATTTTCATTAGATTTTTATATATTTCGTATATAAGTATATATTTATTAATATATTTATAGCATATGCATAAATGTTTGTCTAATATCTACAGTCTTATGTTTGCAGCCAATTTTCTTGATTTTTCGCTGATTTTGCATTTTCAGCCTGCCTGCTCGTATGTTTGATTGCTCGTTTGTTTGTTTGTCTGTTTGTCTGTCTGTTTGGCTGTCAACTGCCTCTACCATCTGGGGAACGCTTTCGCCAAATGCTTGGCATGAAAGCAGTTCAAGTGTGTAATTGCGTTAATTTGCTTTTAAGTAGTTAAATAAATAAAGTTAATTTGAGAGCCAAATACTTTGCATAGCTTTGCTTCTTTCTCTCTTTTATTTTTGGAAAGTTTTGCCTGATTTGTGAACCCTTCGCAGTTGAGCATTGCTTTGAAGTGAAAGTGCGAGCAACTTTTGAGATAATTTGGCCTTTCAGCAGTTGTTTGGCAATTGTTGCCTTATCTGTTTGTCGATTTCACGCTACACGTAGCCAAACAAATACGACTATCTTGGATGATGATGCTACGTCTGCCTTTTTGCTCAATAGCTTCTTAAGCACACATAATAAACCGATTATTAAAATGCGTAGCATACATAGATACATTCATACATTCTCGCAGATACTCCACGCACAGGCAGTCGTGAGAATTGTTGCACATGCTGTGTATCCTTGAGTGTGTGCCTCTGTCTATATATTCATATATACATATACATATGTATGTGTACACATAGAAGTTGCTGTCATGACTTTTATTTGTTTGTAATTAAATGTATCTATAGCTGTCGTGTGTGCATAACTTGTATCTTTGGCGCATGACTCAGCGCCAAAGGGGTGACATTTTAATCCGCAACTAATCGCATATGTGTATCGCCTCCCACCCTGCAGCCCTCTCACCCCACGCCTCGATGTCCTTTGCGCTTCCTGGCAAGTGTAAAATGATTGCAGCCTCTTGAAAGGCAACTCTTGAAACTAAGACTTAAAAGTCGTTCATGCAGTGAGAAAAATCTTGAAACTTACATATGTCATTTAAAATCGATTTGCATAAATAAATTAACAGATTTATTTGAGTTATTGTGATAATAACAATGAAATGAATGCGGAAAAGAATAAACAAATATCTTTAAAAAACATAAATAATTGAAAACAAATCTCCACAAATTGATTACTTCTTTGTTATTAGATTTTTACTTTTTAATTCAAATTTGATTCGAGTTTTTTGTTTAATGTTAATTTCACTCAAGTATCAATTTTCTGAAATTTTGGATGCAATTGTTTTTATTTGACTTTACTACTAATTATGCAAAATAGAACAATTTTTTAATCGGTTCATCTTTTTAAATATTTGTTTTGAAGTCAATTCATTATACGATGAACATAAACAAGAGGATAGAAAGACTGTTTCTTCAATAGAAGAAATCGTTGTTTTTTATGCTTTTTTTTTCAAAAGTATAGACATTTTTTACATGATACATTTACAGCTAATTGTTCAGTTTATTTTTTAAGAAACACCAATCTAGGTGTTAAAATGTAGAATCTAAGTAGCGTATTTAATAACATTGCTATTTTAATAAGATCTAAGCTTTAGGCAAACATCAAAGTTTAATTTGGCTTATTTAAAATATATATTTGCTTTAAAAGCTTTCTAGTTATGCGAGCACTTTAGTGAATAGCTTCCCTTTACATAAAATTTCAGACTAGGAAATCAAATTTGTAACCAAATTTGAAGCGTTTTTTTTTTGCAGTGTCTGAACAACGTCTGCTGGGAATGCAATCAGAAAAGTTTCTCTGCTTTCGCATTTAGCCAACAAACAAAGAAAAAGTCTCAAAGCTTTCAAAAGATCACAAATTTCAATTAAAGCTGGCAAGCAAAAATAAAAAATTGTCAAACTCATCAAATTTTTATGCTGCGGGTTAAGCGGCGACGTCTTCAGCAAATCAGCGCAAAAAGATGCCGTCAGCCACTTTTGGTGACAATTTTTTTTCAAGAGACTTAAAAATGTGGTCTGCCGCCCTCCCCTCAGCACTCTTCCAAAACAAAAAGGCGGCAAATTCGTAACCCTTGCACGCGCCTCTGTCTAAGTTTGCCTTCACACCAACCGCCCAACCACCCAACCACCCAACCACCCAACCACCTCCCACCACCCAACCCTTTGCGCAAACAAAGAAACGTGTGAAAAAGGCAAAAAATTAAAGGCACAAGCAAAATTAACAATTTTTGGTTCACTTTTTCCTTCTTTCCTGTTTGGCTAAGTCTTGTGCTGCGCTTTTTATAACTTTTGCCGGAATTATATGAGCGACGCCATTTTGTTTTTCGCGCGCGCAAAAGTTACGACAAAGAAAATGGAAAAGCAAGTGGCGAAACACCCAAAGTTGATTTGCTTGCTGAAAAGTTATTGTGGAAAATGCAAAAGTCGTGTTGGCTGTAAAGGAGCCCCGACTCGCGGCTATTTCACTTCTTTAGGCCTTCATGCGGTTTCCAGTGCTGGTGGAATATGACAAAAGTGGTATTAAGATACTATGCGGGAGCTATCGATTGAAAATATGGTTGAAAAGTTTCAAGTAAGCCCAGAAGGTTAATTGGAGTTCATAACTAAAGGAAGATTTTTGAAGAAGTTTCACAGAATTAATGAATTAAAATAGCAAATTGTCATTGAAGTGTGTGAATATATATTCGGTGATAAGTATAAAAAGCATCAAACGAATCTAAAATATTGGTGGAATTTAGAAAAAATATATTTTTTGTATCTATTCGATTTGAATGAAGAAGAATTTGTAGGAAAAAACAGTTTAAAATGTTATAATTATTTAAAGCTAGGTAGGGATCATAGCAAAAAGCGTACTTTTTAGCATAAATCAGTGTTAGTATAAAACGAAAGCACTTAAAAGAGTAAATAGGTAGTGGTTAAGTTGAATATGAGAAAACAAGTTGATATAGCAATGTCCATTTGTCCGTCCGCCTGTCTGTTTGTCTGTATGAACGCAAGTATCTCGGAGTGTATTAGGGCTAGAATAACATAACTTTTTCGATGAACCCGTTCACCCTTTTCAATTTTGCCCGTGGGCTTATACTATTGTTTAATATACTTAATAATATTTATTTATTTATAAGCAATTTCCAATTATTTTAATAGAATTAGTTATGAAATAGATTTTTTACTTATTGTATTATATTATTGTTTATTTTAATAAATTGTAATTTAAAAAGCCTAATGAAAAGTCAAAACTAACAAGTATTTATTTACTTGTATTTATTTTAGTGTTCAGAGAATTTTAAACCTTTTACCAAAAATGATTTCGGCTTCTGCCAGAGATAGGGTAATCCTGACTTAAAGGATACTTCGTTGATTTTGGAAAATCAAACGCTATTGGTTTCATACTTTCTTTGATTTTATAATTAGATTTGGAGTTTTAAAATACTGTTTAATTTTTGCTAAAAGTTAAAAGCAATTTTGAATTTAAGAATATGGTAAAATTTTAAAAAGTTAAATGTAGAGAAGTATCAATGAAATTCGGATTTAAAATCTATTATGCTATAGATAATAAAGCAAACTTATTTTTAGTGTTAAAATGCATTTCGAAAAGTTGAA